GGTTTTTTTTTTTTTTTAAAAAATATTTTAAACATTTTTTTTTTTTTTTTTACAATTTATCATTTATTTTAAGTTATCAAAGCTGGGCATGTCAGATTCTGCCCAGACACCAAGTGACACCCCATAATATCACAAGTAAATTAATAGTTCCCTTTGCTTTGATCATTTTAGCCATAATGCCATGTTAATTAATCTGCCATGGCTATGCTGTTAAGTTAGCATCACATCAGTTCTGTCATGACCAGCCACAAAGAACACAAGCTTTCAACAACCATAATCTAAAGACACATTTATTGATCACAACAAAATCATGAGATTTTAAACAGCTTAAATTGTACAATCTGTAAAATGACAACTCACAGTTGTCAAGACAACTCACTAATAAACCCTCTTTATTAGTTATTTTCTTAAAATTAGGCTTTGCAATTAACTTTTCTCACTCTAAAACAGCAGGGGGTGAGAAAGTGGCGTGTTTGTCCAAATAGTGTTTTAATGCACGGTTATAATGAATCATGTTGGCACCTCAGGGGGGCCAATACAGAGTAGTGAGCTTAAGCTGGGTGTAAAACTCAACTCATCGCAAATGCTTTGATATGGAGGCACTGGCATCCTGCTGTTTGTCTATATCCAAATGCAGGTGCTTTGTGAATGTCAGGGTAGGTTGAGTCAGAGGGATTACTCTCCTGCTTGTCTACCACAGCGGGGAGGCTGACATGTGAGGAGGAGACAAAGAGGACGACAAAATAATGTCAGTCCACTGTGACACAGCACTTTGACTGTTCTGTTCAACTCTAGCCCCGTAAGATCACACTAAAACAGTCCCACAAAGATTTAAATGTGTTTACACAGTTACCAGGGGACTACCTGTCAAAATGAAACAGCAGTATTAAAGGCTTTAAATGTAATGTCCGAGAACATAATTGCGACAAAAGTGCGGTCACAACTGCAGTCAGTAATACAGATTTTTTTTATATTTAATTCAGTGTTTTCTTAGTTCTGTGTTTGACATGTTGGTTTTTCAGAGTCAGGCCAACTTACGATAACACTCCCTCCGAAAACAATTGTCCCTGGCTTGGCTTGATTGCTTCAGCGGGATGATTGATGGCACTAGAGTGATGAAGGAAGTGGACATATTGCTGTCTGCCGGAGATGTCATGGGGGCATGCATGGGGAAGTTGATGATATTTTGGTGACATATAAGGAACAGCAGTGGAGACAATGCTCAAAACCCTACCAAAAGGAAGGCATGTGCACATTTTCTATTCACCAAATAATTAAATGGACATAAAATATAGATTTGAGTTGAAATTAATGTAATAATTTCACCTGTATGTTAAAGCCTCCAATAAAAGAAAAAAAAAATAGTCCAGTGTACAGTGGTGGACAGTAACGAAGTAGTTTTACTTCGTTACTGTACTTAAGTACATTTTTCAAGTATCTGTACTTTACTGGAGTAGTTTTATTTTGAGTAACTTTTACTTCACTAAATTCCAAAGCATAAGATCGTACTTTTTACTTCACTACATTTCATAAAACTTATCGTTACTCCTTATATATCACATGCTCCGAGACGCAGAAGCGGTGTCTGATTCATGAACAAACTAATTATTGTAACTAAAAATCATATTTAGGTCAAAGCTGTCAGTTGTTTGTGAACTAACGTTAAATCTGCTGTAAAGGGTGATCTGTTTAAACCCACTGAAATGCTTGAATGCAGACACATTAACATCAGAGTCTCTATATTTTAGGTTAAAAAAGCATTAAAGTAACACAGATTAAATAAAATAACTCATGCACGTTCATCTTCCCCGCTGCTGTAACGTTAGCAGTTTTACTAAAATGCTATGCATTTAGCCCTATGTGACGTCTGTTTTTATATTGTTTGTCAGCACACATAACCTAAGTTACTATGTATCTGGATCAACTAGTCGAGTAGACAAATAGAAATGTTTATTCATAAACATGCTTAAAATAAGTCAACGTTAGCTGATGCTAACTGTCTAGCTAACGAGCTTGCTGGTGCTAAATTGAGGTAATTTTTAAAAAATAAAGTCCAAATATTTTTATT